TGGCTGCTCGGAGACTGAGGCCAGAAAGCTGGGACAAAGGAAGGAAGTGGGCGAAGAGGGAAACGTCAAGAGCAGGGGATGGGCCCCAGGAAACACGGTCGGCAAAGCAGAGAAGTTCAAGGGTGCAGAGAAGGCTGGGGTGCCTCCCTGGGTCCCTCAGGCCCTGTTCTTAATCTTAAGCTAGTGCTGTGACCGGCTGGGAAATCAGCCTACGGGGCCCCACTGGGCCTTGCCCAGGGCTCTGGGTAGCTGAGCGGGTTAGTTAGCTCCGCCACAAGAGGAGAGAAGGAGCAGGCTGCGGCTTGGGCGGGCACTTCTGCTGCAGGGTAGCTGGACCCTGCCTGCTTTTCCCTTTCTCGTTTCTTCTCCCAGTGAGAGGCCCATGACAAGGACTGCTGTCCCTGGACCCAAGAAGCTCTGGTTGGATTTCAGGCCCTCGGGAGGCCACCAGGCAGAGCCAAGGCTCAGGCCTGGGGTCAGGCCGCTGGGTGACACAGTGGCAGCTGCTGCTAAGAGCTGCCCCAGCAACACTGGAAAGGCAGGGGCTTGTGCAAATGTGTGTAAAATGCCCCCAAGACACACACGTGTTGAGCTAAGCCACAGAAGTCCTCGGAAAAGGAACTGCCACTTAGAAGAGCCCACAGGGCCTTCGCCTCTGGGCCCTGCAGGTGCCAGTGCGGGGCAGGCACGCGGGAAGGTTCCCTGGAGGCACAGGGGCTCCCTCGCCTGGGCCTCGGGAAACAGTTCTAGTCCCATCACTTTCCCAGTTTGGAAGCGGGTGTGGCCCCCAGAGCTCGAGCAGGTCTGAGGGTCGCCCTAGGTGGGAAGACCCTCTCCCTGGTTGGAGGCTGAGTCTAGCTCAGGTGGGGTTTTGAAGCTGGGCTCCCTCTCTGGAGGGAGATGTCTGGGGAAGGTAGTGACCAGAAGGAAAGCAAGCTGGGCAGTGCCCGGGGTGTTCAGTGAGGCCGCGCCCCACCCCTGGGCATGCTGCCTGCTCTTGCCCCCCTGGGGACAGAGCTCCCTTTAATGCCAGATCAGATGAGTGGGGTCCAGAGCTTTGGGAATGTAAGCCCTACCCTTACAAGGTATGGAATGTAAGGAACATAAGACATCTCATTGATGTTTCTCTCTTGCTGACATTTCTCTCTCTCTCCCCTCCTCTCTCTCTCTCTCTCTCTAAAAAAAAAAAAAGACACCAGAAAAATAAAGAAAGAAGAAGGAACATAAGACAGAGGCTCCCACCACTTTGTGAGCACGACCTGCTCCCTGCAGGTCTCCGGCCAGGCAGGCATGAAGGTGAGAGACAATGCAGGGCCCTGAGCAAACAGAACCCCCTGTAACGGGACGCCACTGGGGCTCAGCACGGGCTGGAGTTGAGAACGCAGAACTGCTGGAAACAGCCTCCCTCCTCGCCTCCCAATGGCACTTTTTAGGGGTGAAGGGGAGGGGAAATCCTTTGCAAGCAGGATGCTGTGTGCACCCCCTAAAACCCCACACGCACGCGTCCCAGTAACCCGCATCTGTCCTTGTGGTCGACAACCTTAGCTGGTGTAAGTGCCGAAGCAGAGGGAAGGGAAACAATGTTCTAGAAGCCCCTCCCCAGGGCCCCAGTTCTCAGGGCCTGGGCTTCAGGGGTGTCATGGATGAAGGTGAGCTGAAAGGAAGGAGCCCCCAGAAGTCATCCTTGCTAGGGAGCCACTGTGCTTTCCGAAGAACAGGGGCAGGGTGGGGCAACAGGGCGGTGCTCGCAGAACAGGAGTGGGAGGTCTGGGACCGACCCAGCGAGACCCAGAACCCAGGCGGCATGCAAGACCGTCTGGCTGCACTTGGGAGCTGTGTGGGGAGGTGCCACAAACCAGACAGGCTTGGGTTGGGGCCTCTGAGACCAGATGTTGACAAAGAAACAGCCTGTCCCTCTGCCCAGGTCGGCCCGTAGCCCCCGCTCAGCCCTGCACGCCTGCCCGTGTTCCCTGAGGGCTCAGCCGGGACCCACTGCGCAGAGCCCAGGACAGCCCAGGACACACTGGGATGCGGAGCCGCCTGGCTCTGGCTCGTCCAGGGGAATCGAGCACAGATGGCATTGCGCACACATGTACACACTTGTCCACGCACAGGGGTCCCGCGAGCCTGCTCCCTGGGCCTCCTGCCCTGGTATCCACGGCCCGGGGACTCCACACTCAGTTTGCATCCCTCCTCCCTAACCTGCCCCGCACCTTGCGCATCAATTCCGTGTCTCCCTGGCTGGTCCTGTTGAGTCCCAGCTCAGGGGTCCCCAACTCTTCCCGAGCAAAAGGACACAGGTCTGGGGTACAGGGAAGCCACCGAGCTGGGTTGTGCTGTGCTCCCAGGCCGGCCGGGTGGTCCCCTCTGATGGCGAGCCTCTGGCCTCCTAGGCTGGCAGAGGACAGAGCAGGGGAGGAGAGGTGGCTCGGGAGCTGAGGCCGCTGAGCTCCATCCCTTTGTCCAAAGGTCACAGCCTAGAGAAGGGAGAGAGTGGCAAAATGTCACACGGATTTGACGATGCTGTCTTTTGTGACCTAGCACCCTCTCTAAGGCCAGGTGGTTTGAGATGAGCTGTTCCCATCCTCTGCAAGAAAAGGTGGAAGGGACTTCTCCTTATTGAGGTCCTACTATGTGCCAGACTCTGCCAAGTGCCACAATACTTGATCTCATTTAAATCTGAGGCTAGCCTGCAAGATAGGTACATCATACCCTTTTAACAGATGAGAAAACTGAGGTTCAGAGAGGTTAAGTGTTTTGCCCAAGGGTGCACAGCGAGGAAGCAGCAGGATCAGGATTTTAACCCAGAACTCTTCCCACTGGAGCACATAGCCTCTGGACTAAGTAAGGATGGCCGCCCAGCGTGTGGGCTCGGGGGAGGCCCTGTGGGCTGGAGTACCAGCCTGCATGCATGTGGAGCTGCCGAGAATGGTTGGTAAGGGCTGGAGCTCCGGGAAGACTCCTGCAATGAGGAGAGGCTTTGCTGACCACTGCTGAGACAGAATCTAGGCCACCAGGGGCAGAAGTATGCACCCAATCTCCCAGGATGGTTCTGGAAAGAGACCCAGAAGGTGCACAGGTAATCTGTGCCTAGAAGCTGGCAGAGTGGAGGGGTCAACATCATGGATTTAGGGTCTAAACCAGCCTGGGTTCTAGTACTTGCTCTGTTCCTTACTAGCTGTGCGATCGTTGGGAAGGCACTTACCCTCTGTGTGCTTTGGTTTTCTCATAAGTAAACAGTGACAGTAGTAGCACCTACCTCCTGGGGGGAAGGGCTCTTAGGATTCAATGAGGCAATGCAGACAGAATCCTGACATAGCACTGGCCACACATGTTTAGTAAGTGATACCCAGACGACAGGTACTGTGCTGGTGGTTGTGATGATGATCCAGACAAGTGCCATGCGATGGACAAACAGTGCAACCCAAAGAAATGGAAGCAGGAACACGGACAAATACTTACACACCAACCCACTGAGCTGTACGTTTGAAATGGGAGAATTATATGCTATGTGAACTATATCTCCGCAAGCTGTTCAAAATGAAGTCATCTATGTCATTGTAAAATTTCTAATCATATTTTTAAAATTAAAATGTAAAATTAATCTTAATGATATATTTTACTTAATTTAAGTAGCTCCAAAACATTATAATTTCAACATGTAGCCAATACTGTCCATGTAATGTAACAAATTATCCTGCAGTCTCTTCTTTCTCCTACTTCACACCTAGAGTCCATCTCCATTCCACTCCCCACTCCAAGTGCCCAGTGGCCACACATAGCAAGTGGCTGGTATTGGACAGCAGAGGTCCAGGCCCCACTACTCAGAGGGTGACCCATGGACCAGCTGCCCAGCATCACCTCGGAGCTTGATGGAAATACAAGATCTTGGGCCCCACCCAGACCTGCAGAATAAGAATTCCCTAGGACCTCCGTGGTCGGCAAACCGCGGCTTATAAGCCACGTGCGGCTCTTTGGCCCCTTCAGTATGGCTCTTCCACAAAATACCACGTGCGGGCGCGCACGTACAGTGAGATTGAAACTTCGTGGCCCATGCACAGAAGTCGGTATTTTGTGGAAGAGCCACACTGAAGGGGCCTATGAGCCGCGTGTGGCTCGCGAGTCGCGGTTTGCTGAGCCGCAGTTTGCCGACCACTGCCCTAGGTGACCTGAACGCACATTAAATGTGAGGTGCACGTCTCTGGAACACGGGCTTGCCTTCCTCCAACCCACCATGTGCTGAGACATACGAGATTCTAGAAACCACAGCTCCTCGGGTGTGACCACCAGAGGGGCGAACTGACACCCGAGAGGTGAGTTTTGAGTTAGCCGCGACGCCCTTGGAACACGCCAGCTGCAGCTAAGACCTCTTGGTGGGTCCCCTTTGCAGATTACAAACCCCAGCTGCTTAGGGAAGGACTCTAGCACTGACCACTCCACTGAGGGAGGTCCCCAGAGAGAGACACACGTATTGTCTCAGAGCCACTGGGCTCCAGCCAGGAATAAGGGGAGGGGAGCGGCCTGGTGCCTCCTAGTGAGGAAGACAGACCCTTGTGGCAGGGAGGAGGGAGAACCTTCCCTACCTGTCTTTGTGCAACAAAGAATGCTGGGAGCTCAGCATTGCCTTGATGGGGACAGGCTACTGGTTTGAGGGAAGATTTCCTGAAAGCTAGGCCTTGTGGAGGGGTCCGCGGAATACCTGACACGTGGGGCTTGGTGGGTTCAGGGTACCACCTTGCCACGGGATGCTCCACCCACTGGGCATCAGCCTTCATCGGGGAGAATTAGGCAATGAGGTGGCATGGTAGCCACACGGCAGTGCTAGGGCCCAAATCCCAGAGCAGACTTCCCTGAACAGAAACCTGGTAGGGACGAATGGTGGCTGGGGGAGGGAGGTGGTGCATGGGAAGGAGAAGGTTGGCAGAGGAGTTGGGGAAGGGAGCAACAGGTGACCAAGGCCAGAGGACACGGGCAGCGGGGAGAGGGCTGAGGGAGAACACCTACTCTGCCGACTTCCAGAAATGCCCGGGGTGAGACAGGCGGCGGTTTCGTTTTGGCAGTTTCTCCAGCATGTCCATGAGCTTGGTGAAGGTGGGTCTCTCCTCCTGTTCAAAGGCCCAGCAGAAGAGAAGGATGTCCTAAAAGAAACCAATATGTGATGATTTAACAAAAATGATGTCTATATTACTCTTTGGAACCTCACTGGATCTGTCCATTTGTATATCCATTTATCCCACTTCCATATTCTTCAATCATCATCCACCCATCATCCATCTATCCACCCATCCATCCATCCATCCATCATACATGTACCCATCTAAATTCATGAATTTATAATCCATCCATCCATCCATCCATCCTTCCATCCAAAGATCCATCCATGCATCCAGCTACTCATCCATCATCTATCCTTCTAACATTCATACACCCATCCATCATCTATCCATCCATCCATTCATCCACCCATCCACCCATCCATGATCTATTCATCATCCATCCATCCATCCACCCATCCATCCACCCATCATCTATCCATCCATCCATCCAATCACCCATCCATCATCCATCCATCCACCCACCCACCCACCCATCCATCCATCCATCCTTCCATCCATGATCCATCCAGCCAATCATCCATCTACCCATACATCATCTATCCATCCATCCATCCATCCATCCATCCATCCACCAACCCATTCATCCATCCACCCATCCACTTATCCTTCTACTCACCTACTTTCTAGGCCATATGGAAGGCTAGGTTAGCCCTATTCTAGAAGGCCTGGAATACACTAAGATCAATAAAATACTTCTCAATGAGTTTGTGAACATTTTTCTTAATGGGGAGGGAGAAAAGGAATCCATATCGCAATACTATAGTGCCCTTCAAAGTCATTGAGGGGAAAATTACTTATAGTAATATTCTCACCTGAGAAAGGAAACTTAAGAGGCAGGCAGTCCTTAAAAGCATTCCAGATAATGACCCCCTCCCTGACTCATCTGTCTCTGATCAAAAGAAGGGAATTCGCCCTAGCTGGTCTGGCTCAGTGAATAGAGTGTTGGCCTGCGGACTGAAGGGTCCTGGGTTCGATTTTAGTTGAGGGCACATACCTCGATTGCAGGCTCCCAGCCCTGGTCGGGGGCATGTGGGCGGCAACCAATTGATGTGGCTCTCTCACATCAGTCTCTCTCTCTCTCTCTCTTTCTCTCTCTCTCCCCCTCCCCCCTTCCATTCTCTTTAAATCAATAGAGAAAATATTCTCGGGTGAAGATTAAAAAAAAAAAAAAGAGGGGAATTCTTCGTGCTATGTTTTAGAGGACGACTACTAATATACTAGTGACCCAGTACACGGATTCATGAACATTGAAAGGAAATTAATTAGAATGTGGCCGGTGGCGCGGGACTGGGCAAGATGGGCCGGACACGCCCTGGAGCCAACCTCCTTCTGTCCCTCCCTGGCGTCTGCAGAGTGAGCGGGGTCCCTTGGCCTGGCCTGACATCCCCCAAGGATCTGACATCCCCCAAGGGGTCCCAGAGTGCGAGAGGGCACTCTGCAAAGCTGCTGTCATACAGGGTGTGAAATGCAAATGCAAGTGTGCAGCAAACCAGATTCGGGGCGACAGTGCCCCAGCAACAACATAACCCACGGCCGAAGGTGGAATCATGAGGCCCCATGGGGAATCGGGTTCCCTCCTCTCTGGTTTTGGGGTGCGTCACCCGAGAACTGCCGCTGCCAAGTCACTGCAGCTTGGCAGCTCCTGTGTTGAGCGTCTGCCCCCTGGTGGTCAGTGTGCATCATAGCAACTGGTTGGACAGTCGGACACTTAGCATATTAGCCTTTTATATATATAGATACTCAGGCTTCTCTGTTTCTTTATATCTTGTTCTGAGTTGGACAATGCCTTAAATTTTTTAATATAGATGCAACTAAAATTAGATTACCAGTGATATTTTAATGAATGTCTTTTTTAAATTGACAGAAAAAGGATTCCCTGGTTCTACTTAACTCAGCAGTCCACTGCTAGGAAAACCTGGCCAAGTTCCTACTGATGCTAGGAACCTGAATTGCAGGCACGGTTCAGAGAGTTTTGCCTTCTAAGCTCCAAATTATTACAGGACAAGGCTGTGGGCATGCTTTTTGGTTACCCTTTGGGAAAGCACTTGCAACCTTCACACACAAGAAAAAGAAAGCCCGGAATGGTGTCTGCTGCTCCCCTTGTCCCCAGGACCTGGCACCATCCGACTCACCGAGATCTCCTTTCCCACGCCGATCTGGCTGAGGTTGGGTTTCATGCCTGTGCCCATTTGCCAGATGATTGCCTCTGCTGGCTGGGTCTTGAAAGGCCACTCCCTGGCGTGAAGCTCATACCAGATTGTTCTGTTGGCAGACGTTGTTAAAGGGGTGTTGGTGTGACATGTTACTCGCATCCCCCCACTAACACCCACCCACCCGCCAGCCTGCTGGCTGGTTACTCTGTCCCCTACTTTCTTCCTCACAGGGTGGCTGTTTCTCTCCCTGGCTGTGCTTAAGGCTTTCTTGGTGTCTTAGAGTCATGCTTATCCCAGGATACCGCCTCTGGTGCCTTGATTAACATGAATCAAAACCTAGAATCTGAATAATTTAATAGTGTGTGGCTGTGACCTCTGGCCTGTAATTCTAGAGAGCCAATGTAGGGGAATAATTAAGGATACAAGAGTCATTTACAAGGATGTTCTCTACAACATGATACGTAACATTGAAGAAAGCAGGAATGATGCAAGTGTTCAGCAGAGGGAACAGGCTGCATGTATCATGGTAAACCCATCAAATGACACAGAATCCTACATTATTAACACATTTCAAGAAAACTTTGCCGACAGGACAAAAATGCTCAATATATCACTTTAAATGAAAAAAAAAACTATACCTAAGATATAACGTTACTCTTTTTCTAAAAAGCATTATATATGTATCGACAAGAGAATAAAGAGAAACACTGTAAAGTGTTAACAGTGGCTATCTCTGTGATAGGATAGACTAGGACAGGAATTTTCCCTTTTGTACTTGTGTTTTTCTGAGTGTGAATCATCCTGTAGAATAACTGAAAGAAAAGAAACGGTCTGGGAGTCAGACTGCCTTGCGTTCAAGTTCTGGTTCTACTCGGCATTGGCTGCATGATGCTGGGCAGGTCCCGTCACTTCCCTGAGCCTGGATGCCCTAGCCTGCCAGGTTAGAGGCGGGAGGCTGTTTATCTGGGATGCTGAGTGGAGGGCAATTCGATGCCAGGTTGATTCTAGAACAGCCGAGGGCAAACTACGGCCCGCGGGCCGGATCCGGCCCGTTTGAAATGAATAAAACTAAAAAAAAAAAAAGACCGTACCCTTTTATGTAATGATGTTTACTGTGAATTTATATTAGTTCACACAAACGCTCCATCCATGCTTTTGTTCCGGCCCTCCGGTCCAGTTTAAGAACCCATTGTGGCCCTCGAGTCAAAAAGTTTGCCCACCCCTGTTCTAGAAGGACTGATTTTGCCATCACGTATTTCATAGACAGTGACAGTGTAATGACTGAAGAAAGTCTGCTCCGGTGAGCAGCACGTGGGATTGGACAGGGCCCGGGCTGGCAGGATAAGTGATGCTGGGAGGTGTGGGGGGCAGTGAGGACCATGTGGGTGCTCCTGGGATGCGGGTGTTGGCGCTATTCCGTGTGGATAGGTCTCAGCTGGAAAGGGGCAGAAACAGAATGATGGGAAACCAGCTAGTATTCTAAGAACTATTAATCAGGCTCTGTGACTGTTTTATTCTGATTAAAGAAGGCACATTCCACCCTGGCAGGAGCTGACTTGGAGACGCAGCCCTTTCTCCCCATTTGGAGCTGCCTATTATCATGAAAAGATTAACAAAGATTTGTTACAGAAACCAGAATTGCCAGCCCTTTGAAGATCCCCAGCCTCTTTTGCATACCTGCAGGCCTTTGCAAACCTCCAGCCTGCTTACCTGTTAATTCTGGCACTCCCTTGGCTATTTCCCCATGTAACCCCAGCCCTTGCATGTCACTAAGCCCTTTGAAGACCCCTAGCCTTTTGCATATCTGTAAACTGCCCTTTTGCCTACTTTCCTTTGTATTTATGCCTATATAAGCAGCTGGCTTATGGTGGGCTGCAGAGCAGATTTTTGTGGCTAACCTGCTGCTCTCCCATACTGCCGGCAATACTGGAATAAACGCTCACATATGATTCAACCCTGTGTCTGCTTAATTGGCTTGAGTAGTGACAGGCAGCATGGACAAGCTCACTGAGAACAAGGCTCCGCAACTCAGGGACTCTCTGAAACCATCCTCGGAGCTGATCTTTCCTCCGATCTAGGCTAATTTGTGTAAATCTGCCTTAAAGAACACCAGCACCCCGTTATCCTTTTGAATCAGAGGACTGTGCCAATCGGGCTATTTTTAGGGTCCCACTTCCCCTTAGCATCGCTTCTCCCTGCCGACCTCATCCTTCCGGGGCGGGGAGGGGTGCTGCCGCTCAGGTGCTGGGATGTTGCTTTAGATCAGTGGTTCTCAACCTTCCTAATGCCACGACCCTTTAATACAGTTCATGTTGTGGTGACCCCCAACCATAAAATTACTTTCGTTGCTACTTCATAACTGTAATGTTGCTACTGTTATGAATCGTCATGTAAATATCTGATATGCAGGATGTATTTTCATTGTTACACATTGAACATAACGAAAGCATAGTGATTAATCACAAAAACAACATGTAATTATATATGTGTTTTCCGATGGTCTTAGGCGACCTCTGTGAAAGGGTCGTTTGACCCCAAAAGGGGTCGCGACCCACAGGTTGAGAACCGCTGCTTAAGATGCTCAGGAAGTTCTAAGTTAAGGTGCTCTGTGGCTTTATCCCAACAATAAACAATAACACTGATTGAGTGTTTGCTTCTCAGTACATACGCCCTGTCCTTCTGGGAACTGTAACAAAGTATCCTTTCAATGGCAGTCATTGCCCTAACCCAGTGCTCTGCAAACTGCGGCTCAGCAAACCGCGGCTCGCGAGCCACATGCGGCTCTTTGGCCCCTTGAGTGTGGCTCTTCCACAAAATACCGGCTCTTCTACAAAATACCGACTTCTATGCATGGGCCACAAAGTTTTAATCGCACTCTACGTGCACGCCCAAACGTGGTATTTTGTGGAAGAGCCACACTCAAGGGGCCAAAGAGCCGCATGTGGCTTGTGAGCCGCGGTTTGCCGACCACGGCTAATCTATTGGCCTCATCATATCTGAATAATAATGAAAGCTCCATTTTAAGCAGGAGGCACCCTCATTATCCCCATTTTACAGATGAGAAAACCGAGGCCCAGAAAGGTTATGTTATCTTACCTGAAGTCACATAGCAAATAGGTGGTTGTATCCAGCTCATCGGACTACAGAATTGCATCACTGGCCATTGTGCTAGACTGGCAACCCTATGCCCCATCATGCAATCGGGGCAGAGAATTCTCTGGGAGGACAACCCCTGTAGTTGATGGATGAGGGCTGGTGAGGGGCACAGACAGACTGCAGGCTCAGGGGCTGCTCATGTGAAAGGAGAAAGGGAGGCTGTCGGGAGCGGGGAGCGGGAGCGGGGTGCTGGGCTGGGTGCCCTATGGGTGTTTGCTCACTTACTCCTTCAACACCTCAGTGGGTTTTATGATCTTTAATTAGGGCTTTGAGTGGTGAAATGACTCTGTGGTTCAAAGCACCAAATCTGGAGCCAGGCTGTCCCCCGTTTGACTCCCAGATCCTGCCTGCCATCGGGAGAGTCACTGAGCCCTGGGAGCAGTTTCCACACCTGTCAGTTGGGAACGGGCATGACACCTGTTCGTAAGAGCCCTAACGCAGTGCTCACCACGCTTCTGAAAGTCCCCTTGCCCTAAGTCATTCGTGAGCATGGCGCTCCCAAGCACCTAGGGGCGTCTAATGGGCAGGAAACCGGAATGCAAGTGTCAGGAATGAAGAAGGCCTCCTTAAAACTCTTTCGCACCCAACTTGCAAGAGAACTCACTTAAAGGAAAATAACAGTTGCCGAAGATGAAAACACCAGTGGAAAAGTAATTACTTACTTCAGTACATTTTGTTAATTACATTCTTCTTTCTTTTGCTAAATTTATATGAAAATATACCAACTTAATTACTGCAATTTGGTTTCAGATAACAGTTTCTAACTAGATAAAGATTGGGGCATAAACAAATCAGGGAAAATGACAGCCACTAAGGGGTCCAAGTGACGGTCGTTGAGCATCCTAACGTGCCAGGACCCGCACCCAGGTTTCACAGAGGGGCGCGGTGGGCACTTTCCCGGGGAAGACGGCCTAACGTCTCTCCGTGGTGCTCAGTGTATCTACACGCATTTGCAGGCCTGCGGCTTTCCCAGCAGCTTCCCAGCCCTGCCACCACCCGACGGCTCAGGTGAGGTTGGTGGGGCCGCTGGAGGGAGGGGAGCACGAAGCCTTCCCAGCTGCACCTTCTCAGAGCGCTCGGCCAGCATCTCGGGGCTGAATGTCCTGGATCCTCACCCCCCTCTCCACTTCCAAAGACATCTCACTCAGCCGGTCCGTGAGCCTCAGTGCTTGAGCGTCGACCTATGAACCAGGACGTCACGGGTCGATTCCCGTTCAGGGCACATGCCCAGCTTGCAGGCTCGATCCCCAGTGTCGGGCGTGCAGAAGGCAGCCCATCGATGGTTCTCTCTCATCATTGATGTGTCTATCCCTCTCTCCCTCTCCCTTCCTCTCTGAAATCAATTAAAAACAAAACAAAAACAGACATCGGGTTCTCTCTCAGGACGGCGGTCACCCTTTCCTTCCGACAATCCTCAACTCGTCTTTCCCAGCTCGAGGTGCAGATTCTGTGCCTTCTGGTTGGCTCCAGGGCCAGCTCCCTGGCAGCTCAAACTCACTGGGTACGACTCGGCCCTCTTTGCCTTCCTGCCCCACCTCCAGGCTCTCTCTACCTTGGTGAGGTGGTAACTGTCCCTCTGCCCAGGTGCTTAAGGTAGAAATCTGGGCGCCACCCACATCAAACCCCGTCGCTCCCCTTTCTGAATGCGTCTCCATTCCCCGTGTCCACACCCGCTGGCCCTGACTCAGCGGACACACCAGCACCTCCGCCTGGCCTGGTCACCAGCCTCAATCCTGTCCGTCTCTTTTCCACTCTGCACAAAGTACTGTGGCTGTGCTGAAACTGGACATACTGTTGTGAATGAGCCAGGTAGCCTGCCATGCTCCATAACCAGTTAGAAACCAGGCACGAAGATGTGCTGGGGCCCCCCTTTTTCCTGCATCCCAGTCAGATCCCCCAACCTCACTCAGAAACCCAGCCACTTTGCCCCCACAGACAGGCGCCCCATCCCTCCCAAAAGCACCGAAGGAAACCGGGGACGCGGGCCTCTGCCGGGGCCGAGGCTCTCGAAGGCCGGGGCGGGCGCCTACCCGAGGGCGAAGACGTCCGAGTGCTTGGAGAAGGGCAGCTTGTCCTCCTCCGTGTCGGGGGACAGCTGGCGGATGATCTCGGGCGCCAGGTGGCACAGCCAGCCGTTCTGGATGCGCAGCTTGTCCTCCCGCCTGGAAAGCAAAGCACAGAGTGAGTCCTGTGTCGCAGCCCCGGGAGGTCAGGCCCCCAGCGCTGACCCCAGCCCCTGTGCCATCTCTGCTGGCTTTCTTGCGTCTCCCTGTTGGGGCACTGCCTGACCTTGTACTTGAGGCTAAGACCCAGTGGGAGTGGTACAGGGAAGGCTGGTCTAGAGAGACAGGCAACACCCAAACCATCGTGGGTCCCTTTGCCTCTGAGGTGCCCCTCCCCACCGCATTCCATGAATACAGCCGATTCTCATCCTTGTGGAGTCATGCTCTGTAGTCTCCATAAACATGTACCAGCGAATACGGAATTGGTGCTCCTGGGAAGTACAGACGGATACCCGCATGCGCGTGCACACACACCTCTCACATACATCATCTCAAATCCCCCAAACCACCCGTCCTGGTCCATTCTGCTTTCTTTATTTTGCACAAGGGAAGTTGAGGCTCCGAGTGTTGATGCTTGTCCGGGGCTGCCCCACTGCCCAGTGCCAGCTGGCCCCAGGGCTGAGGCTTCTTGCGCTGCATGGCAGGCACCCCTTGCTCCACCCCCTGGTCATCTGCCCATGGCCGCTGGAGCAACAGGGAAGAGTGGCCCTTTGTTCAGCCTCAGTGGGGAACAGGCCTGTCATGTGACTCCAATCCTTCCCTACCCTGCATGCTCCTGAATGACTGTGCATGGGCCGTGAATGCGGATTTGGGGTTACCAATACATCTGAGTAGGTGAGTTGCAAATACGGAGCCTGTGACTGAGGAGGATCAGCTGTATTTATGGAGCGTGCACTATGACACCAGGCTCTGTCTCGCACCAGGAGCCCAGCGGAGAACAGGACCAATGGGGCCCGCCCTCCTGGAGCCTGAACTCTGGTAGGGAGAGGCGATGACAAGTGAATTAAATAGACAGGAAAGACACAGAAGGTGGTAAGCATTGCACAAAAGGTTAAAAAGGGTAAGTGTGAAAGATAAGAGGAAGCTGGCTTTAGGTAAAATGTGAGCTAAGATGGGCACGACCCAAAGGATCCAGCCCTCTGCACAGGAGAATTGCAGGCAGGTGGGAAAGTGAAACCAAGGTCCCAGGCAGGGCCTGTGTTCGAGAAACCTAGAAACACCAGGGTGAGTGGCACACATGACACCATCCTGTGTATCCACTAAATGTTTACATCCAACCCGGGGGGCGGGCCTTGGGTGGCTCCCCTCCCAGCACCATAAACAATGCTGCGTGGACGTCTTTGGGCAGCACCTATGAGCATTCCTCGGGATCCATCCTTGGAGGAGACGGGAAGCTGGCTCCCTTCTTCACTGTGCACCTTTAGCAAGTGCAGAACTCTCCATCTGAGACTGAAATCCAACCTCCTGCGAGTTTCCCCTTTCTCCTAGGAAAGGGCCAGCTGGTACAGGGAGAGTGGGCAGGTGTGGGAGAAGGGGATGGGTACCTCCAACCATCAGGAGTGAGGCTGTGCCCTGGCTGATGCTGCTCAGTGGTTAGGGTGTTGGCTGCACACCGAAGGGCCATGGGTTTGATTCCCAGTCAAGGGCACATATCTCAGTTGCAGGTTTGATCCCTGGTGATCCCCATTCCCAGACGGGCATGTGTGGGAGGCAAGCAATCAATGTGTCTCTCTCACACTGATGCTTCTCTCTCTCTCTCTCTCTCTCTCTCTCTCTCTCTCTCTCTCTCTCTCTCTCTCTCTTTCTCCCCCCCCCCCCGCCCCCCTCCATCCTTACCTTCCTCCCTCTCTGAAAATCAATGGGGAAAAATGCCCTCGGATAAGGATTAGCAAACACACACACACACAAACAAAAAGGAGGGAGGCTAGGAGGCGCCAGAGCCCCCAGCAGTGGGGCCTCCGGGGCGCCTGCTGGGAACCCAGGCTGGCTGGGCTGGAGGCTTCCTCCAGGGCAGGCTTCTGAGCTCCCCAAGGCATGAGGCATTGCCTCCTGAACTCATTCGTTCACATCCCACAGCGGGGAGTCCTGCCCTAGCTCAACACCTTCGAGATCAGCTATTCTCACCCTCTGCTTCCAATAGGGCAGCCACTAGCCATCCTGGCTACTGAGCAACTGACATCCAGCCGATGCAACTGAAGAAGTGAGCTTCTTACTTATTTGAATTAAAGTTAAAATAGCCACCTGTGGCTAGTGGCTACCACCTTGGACAGTGCTACGCTAGAATATTATTTACAACAAACGGATTTTTTTCACTCCTGTATATTTTAATAGATTACCTTTTAACGTGACCTTAAGTAGAAACTAGCACTTCTTAAGTACACATTAAAATTAATATGGAAAATGTTTGTTCATATCCTCCCTGAAGTCGTCTTGCAGACCTTGCTTGGGGGCGGGAGAAGCCTGGCGAGAGGCTGCAGGAGTCTGAGTTCTGGTTTGGGCTGGATAGTCCTTTGGGTGGGGCTGCTCTGCGCACTGGAGGATGGTGAGCAGCATTCTGGCCTGTACCCACTCGACACCAGTAGCACCTCCTCTCCCGTTGTGACAACTAAAAATGTCTGCAGACATCACAAATTGTCCCGTGGTAGGGTGGGGAGAGCGTAGCTGAGAATCACTGTTCAAATTTCTACGTAAAATAAGGAAATGGTCCAAATTTCAGTCTTTCCCCATCAGTGACACATGACTTGCTCCTGTGCCCTACACAGCGGACGGGATAGAACACATTGCCCGCTAGCAAATACAGGACTCGAATCCATTAGCAAGCGCTTGAAGTGGCAGGCCAGTGAGTTCTTGCTTGTGGAATCGAGACACTGGCAGGGATTTAAGGACCCATCTGTTGCTTACTAGCTCTGTGACCTTGAGCAGACCCGAGTCTCTATTTTCCCACCTACAAAATGGGCACATACTTCCACATGGCCGGTGCAGGGACGAACGGGAGACAATGCCTGGTACAGGGCTGTGTCAGCTGCCAGGGCCACAGCTGTCAGTGCGCTTGGGTATTACCTATGGATACGTTTTTTTATCTTGAGGACTCAGAAATGAGGTTGAGAGTAGAACCCAAAGTAAGAATGCCATCCAAGAAAGAGGGGCAGTGGCGATGGCAACAGGGGGAGTGTGCCGGTCCCCACGCAGCAAACCTCGAAGTAAGTGCTGCCAGGGAGGCAGAGGGAAGGAAGGAGCCCGCAGGAGCCAGCCTGCCTGGCTTCTGGGTTCTGACTCGAGGCCTCTCTCCACCTCGCTCCTGGCTGATGTATTTGATCATTTTCTGCCTATTTTCTTATCTGAGATGCTCTATGTAGACGGTTTTGAAGACTGCGAGAATTTGGGGGGGGGGGGTGCAGTAAAATCTAAAAATGAAATTTAAGCTTCTGTTCGTTTCCGCATCACACAGAAAGAGCCAGATCACGTCTCACCCGACTTCGGACGGTGGGACCTAGACTCAAGGTATTATGGAGCGTGAACCAAATTCACTTGGGAGAGGCCTGGGTGCAGCGCAGACACCGGTTATTCTCAAAGGGAAGAAGCTGAAGAGGAAGGAGAGAAACTACGAGGCTGCCTCTCTGAGGAGGAAGCCGTTTGTTATACGTGGGGCTCCGTTAGAGAAAACACGCTGGGTCTGGAGTGTGTGTGTGTGTATGTGTGTGTGTGTGTGTGTGTATGCACACACTTTCCAAATTAAAAGCCACACAGGCGGCCCTTCTGAATTATGGGTTGTTTACTTGGGATCAAGCTGTTTTTCACACGGTCACCTCGCTCTAGGGGTGAGAGGCGCCTGAGAGTTAATTACTTAACTGGTGGTTAATGATTCTCCTGTGTGATATTGAGGAGGTCTATGCAAATTAATACTAATTACAACTCAGCAGCAGCTACTATTTGTAGTGTCCTATGCCCCAGGCACTGCGCTGGACTGGATGTGGTATCTGATTTTATCCACACAAGGAGCCAGAGGCAAGCACAACCCCATCCATCATTTTCCTTGCAGATGGGAAACTGAAGTTCAGAAAACGTCCATGACTTGGCTGAAGTCAGTTAGTAAGTAAGTGGCCAAGCCATGCTGGGCCCAGGCGTGTCTGACTTTAAATCCCTCACTCTTAACTGAAGTCCTGCTCCACTAAAATGAATGGATTCATAAGGAAGCTTGGAGGGAGGCTCTTGGGTGATTCCCACTTCCGGGTGAGTACTTGGGATGAGGGAAGAGTCCTCCAGTGAAACTCAAGGCCAGGGCTTTGCAGGATTTGGAGATGCTCAGTGGCCACCTGGGAGTCAGCCCTGCACCATCACAGGGCGGCCTGGCTGCTCAGCTAGGTGACCTCAGGCTACACCACGTCTAGGTCACTAAAGCCATTTGGGATGACTCCCCGTCCCCGTCGAGAACCCCTCTGAGCCCTCCCACCACTTCTCACCTGCCAGCCTGCAGCACCCCGGAAATGCTGAAGAGCCCAAAGTCTGTGATCACCACTTTGCCATTGTCGTAGAAGACGTTCTTGGACTTGAGGTCCTTGTGCAGGATTCCCTTGGCGTGGAGGTAGCCCATGCCCTGCCAGGAACAAGGCGACAGGGTTGTCAGAGGAAACCTGAGTGCTCGCTGCCACTGCGGCCTGGGTTCTTGGTTCACGCTCCCTGCTCTGCCCAAGGGATCACACGATAGCAGTAGAACCAGGGCCCACATTAAAGGCATACAGGCGGGTGGGAGAAGGCCTGGCAGGTGGGAACAGGCAGGGTCTCCAAGACACAGATATGCCACCACCCTCAGACCACTGCACGACTGTCTCCATCTAGCTCTTCTGCTTCCTGAATTAGAAACAAAGGAAGATCTCTCCAAAAGAAAGAGGGTGGGAACAAATCTGAGATGAGGGCCCCGAGAAAGGAATTTCATTAGCTGTCTCTACACACACATACCCGCACCCCCCCCCCCCCCCCCCCGCCAGCCCTATTCCTCTTTGACAAATAACTCCTAGCAGGAGACCTGCTCCTTAGTCTACTTAACCCCGCCCCTGCCCCTGCTGAACACACTGCATTCCTCCAGAGACATAACAGGATTCGATCAGCAAAAACATGGAGAAGAACCTGTTGAAGGTGCAGCTCAAGGGCGGGTGTCTAGAGTTTTGTCTGCCTTTATGAGAAGTTACATTTTTATTGCTTCTCACCCCTTAGTCCTGACACTTCCAATGGAAATAAAAGACCGGATACAACTGACTAATGAGGCATCTGCCAGAAAACACAGGATGTTCCTGCTTGTTTTAATTCCAAACAACATCCAATAATTGGATGTTTCCCCAGCAGCTAGAGAGAGATGGCTAACACACCTGGGAATTCAAGGACTTGAGGAGTAAAGGATTCTAACAAGGAGAATGTTCCCCTCCTGGTCCCTGTACATGTCCAATTATCATGATGACGAGGCACTAGATAGGAACCAAACACCGAGAGACCATCCCTAATGGTTGTATCTTGGGGCAAAATTCTTACATACACTTGGCATAACATTTGTCAAGTCAAGTCTGATTTCTTTTAAGCCCAGACTATTGGTCTGAAGCCACACTATGAGTCCCAAGAGGGGGCACAGTCTTTCTGAGGTTCACGGAGGGTGGGGGCCCAGACCCTATGGTACCTTCACAATTTCTTGGGCAATCTGCCTGGTTTTATTGACATCCAAGACGATCTTGGCGTCCCGCACCACCGAATAGAGGGTCCGTCCTTTACAGAGGCTGGAAAGGACGAGAGAAATGGTAGCTGTTGAGATGAGGGTGACTTTTCCCGGCCGGTGTGGCTCAGTGGTTGAACATCAACCTATGAACCAGGAGGTTACGGTTCAATTCCCGGTCAGGGCGCATGCCCGGGTTGTGGGTTCGATCCCCAGTAGAGAATTGCAGGAGGCAGCTGATTGATGATTCTCTCTCATCAAGGATGTTTCTCTCTCTCTCTCTCCCTCTCCTTTCCTCTGTGAAATCAATAAAAATGTATTTTTAAGAAGGGGTGACCCACACAGTTATGAGAAGTGACACATAGTAGGGTGGACTTGTGGACATGCCCCTGGTAACCCCCTGGGATAGTAAGCCTGGGGCGGGAACTCAGGCTGGTTCTGGGAGGCGGGTCTGGGAGCAAGTTCTTCTGGGCTCTCCAGGATCTTCACCAGCACCCACCCCCACCCCAGCCTCCAAGGACACCTGCGGAGTCTAGCCGAGTTCCCTCTCTCCCAGGGTGTCAGGAGGGAAAGCTGGGCACACCCTAACGATGGACGGGTCCTCAGACCCCACTCAGACAGCACTCTGCCGGCCACTCATCCCAGCTGCTCCTGCTCGCCCGGAGTAGCGGTTTGTGGGGACAGTGATAAAAGACCAGCAAAGTGGCCGCTGATGCATACTAATTACCATCAGCAAATGATGCATTAGAGTCTTCAGACAGAAGTGTGTAAACACCAATAATACTTCCCCCAAACCAGATGCCTGTCTAGATAGAGGGTTTTTCAAACTATTTTCAGCCTCATTGAGTTCATTTCCAGGACCAGTGGTTTAAGATGAATGACAAGATGGAAAGGGACATTATGCAGTGACAGTCACACCTTCTCATTTAGTTGCTGGCATGCACATCTGTCCTTCCCCTGCAAAGTGAGCTCGGCCAGGCACTCACAGACCAGGCCCTCAGTAAACAGTCACTGAATGAACAAGTGAGTGAGTGAGGGAGGGGATGAATGAATGAATAGAGTTCCAGATTCACCGGAGCATCCCTAGCCCCTAGCACCATGTTTTGCTCACAGGGTCCAATGTTGGCTGAAAGAAGCCAGAATGACATTAGGAAAGTTCATTTTCCATCTACGTCAACATAAGAGCTTGCATTTTTCTTTGGTCTATGACTTCATTGCTAAAATGCCATAGGCATTCTATTCATTTCCTTAGTATTCACGGAGCCCTTGCTGTGTGCTAGACTTGGTTGAGATAGTGTAGGTGAGGTCAGAGCTCTGGTATTAGATGGTTTCAGTCTGAATCCCAGCTCTCTTCCTTGCTGACTGTGTGTCTTGGTGTGCGTTACTTAACCTCTCTGGCCCTCCGCTTCCTCATCTGTTAAAGGGAACTAATGATTCCTACCTTGCATAGTGAGAATGAGAAATGGCGCTCCATACCATGCTTGGCACTTGGTGGGAAGTGTAAAGAGTGGTTAGGAGAACGGAGGCCTAGAGCTAGATGCCATGGGTTAAAATCCTGGCTTGTCAGCTCCTGGCTGTGTGACCCTAGGCAGGTGAGTTAACCCTCTGAGCCTCTGGTTCACTGTTAGTAAAATGCAGTCAATAGTTCCTGCTTTCTAGGGTTCGTAAGAGAATCACATGAAATCAGGTGTGTAGACATGTAGGCATCTGTCCATGCCTAACACATGGTAAGTACTCAGGTAATGCTGGCCACTAAGAGAGGTAGCAGATGGTCAACACACACTTGTGCAAGCCTACGTAAGTTTACACACACACACACACACACACACACACACACACACAATCTATTATCTCTCTATCCATCCATTCACTCACCCAAAATGCTAGCCCATGATCTCTAAGATTTACCTCCTCACCTGCTTAAGTGAGATTCCCAGGGTAGCTGACTCACAGGGAGTCTGATTCACCTGCCTGGGTCGCTGACTCAAGGCTGTCCCCCACGGCCAGTGAGGCGGGTGAGGCAGGCAGTGTGTTTGCTGAGGCTGTGGTGGGGGGCGGGGGGGGGGGCCGGGGAGAGCTGGAGGTGGGGTGGGCTGCGCAGCCAATTAACCACATTGACATTTAAATATTCCCAAGGTGGGACTGTGGGTGGATTCCCTCCCTTGGATACTCCGTCCTGAACAGACACCTACACTCATTACAGGGCAGAGCCAAGAAAATAACATCTCGCGGCAGATGGCACAGCAAACAACTGCAACAGACTCCCGACTCTCCGACTCCCCTGCTCAGGAAAACCAAGACAGGTCGCAGGCTTCAAACGTCCGACCCGTCTTCTTCCCGCGCACACCCTCCTCTCCAGCAGCAACTGCTAACGTCTGCTCCTCTACTACCCCATGGTGTCGGGAGCCACGGGATAAGCTAACGCTGACTGGCGGGATATACATGGTACGCCCACAGCTTGGGGCATCTGCTATGTGAAATATACAAATAACCCACGACCAGCAACTTCTCCCCTAACGAAGCAGGTACCCAGCAGGCATGCATACTCGTATTCACCCACACACGTACTAGAATGTTCCAGAATGTTAATAGCAACCTATCCTAATAGCCCCAAGCTGGAACTAACACCAATGTTTATCAACTGAAAAATGGATAAATTGTCGTTTATCTATATAACTAAAAGAACTATATTCATACCGTACTGCATAATAAACAAACCATTGCTAACTGCAAAAGAAGTGAATGAAGTTCATTAAAATGTTAAGCAAAAGAAGCCAGACACAGAAGACTCACACTCACACTGAATTTATACAACGTGAAAAAGACGGGCAAAGCTGATCCACGTGCCTTGAGTCAGCACAGAGGTGACCGGTGGGGCTGCGGGGGCCGTGAAGGGCAGGCGGTGATGTCCTGGCCTGGGTCTGGGTGCCTGTTCTATGGAGATGCATTTAGTGAAAATCCATCAGGCTGTGCTCTTAGGATCCAGACACTCTGACAGGTGTTATCCTTCCCCAAAAAAGTTTACTTAAAAAAAACCAGTAAGAAAAGGATGAACAATTACTACATGGCATGGGAATTTAAAAGGAAATCGAAGCCAAGACTGACACCCTAGGTGTCCATTTCTAACGTCCTCCCTGTCCCCAGGGCAGTGTGGGCAGAGGAGCTAGGAGCTCCCGAGGCTGGCTGTGCCCACCCAGGTTTCTTTCGGGGGCTGAGTTGGGGAGCAGGTGCAGGGCAAGGGCTGGGCTCTCAGCAGGACGAGGCCTGAGGCAGGTGTCCTGTGTGCTGAGGCCTGGGTTGTCCAGCCAAGTCAGTCTAAGTGTCCAGGGCAAGTGCTCTGTGCTTGGGATTTCTGTGGCTAACGGGGTGCCCTAAAGCTGCTTGCAGGTGGGCAGTGGGGAAGGGAGGGGAGGAGAGGAGGGAGGCTTACTGAGCACATGCATGAGGCCTAGCCCAGCTGCCAGTGTTATGTGGAGACTCAGAGCAGTGGAGGACTGGCTCACAGACACGCAGCCATGATCAGCCTGCTCCTGATCTTCCTCATCTCGTCCTCCATGGTGTGGGTACCCAGTTACTGGACGTGATTTTCAGGCCATTAAAGAGACACACAGCCAAGTGAGCCCACATCACGCTTCTACTGTTTACTACTTGCTGGGTGATACTGGGAAGTAACTTTGACCTCAGTTTCCTCATCTGCAAAATGGGGGTGATAGTGACAAAAGAGCCCCACTAGGTGAGTGTTCACACTGTACTTAATTGATTCCATCTTCTCTGAAATGAGACAGCATTCACTGACAGGTCACAGTTTCCCGGACACTGTGTTTCTTTGTAGCACATGACGTAAATGCTGTGTCATCTAACGGATGACATCGTGGACTGAATGAAGTCTGGGATGGGCCCGTTTCACAGATAAAGAAACCTAGGCTCAGAGCAGTGAGAAGAGCTGGTGTTTGAGCCCAAGCAGCCGACTCCAGAGCTCATGCTCGTAACCCCCATCACTGCGTCTTCCCTGTCTCTGAGGCTCGGCATATCATAGGCCTCGGTGAGTGGAAACTGTGATGTAGCTACAAAGACCACCTAAGACGATGGAGATTGAGGCTGCTGGCCTCCACACAGTGTCAGTCTGGGGCTCAGGAGAAGGTGTTCTAGTGGCTCGAGGAGATATTTAGTAGCCCTCTAACTAAATACACACACACACACACACACACACACACACACACACACACACTCCCTCTCAGTATCTCTCTCCTCAACATCATCATTTTTCCAAGAAGAGGAGCCAAGATTGAAAATTTCTTGTCTCGTCCACAGGCCACCATCTCTCCCAGTCCTGGCTCCAAGCAGCTCATATAAGGTCGGCTTTCCACCCCACATCCCAGGTGACACAGGGAGCCTTTTGGCCAAGATGACACAGCAAGTGTGAGACATTCGTTGTAAAGCAGCCTTACCGAGGCTGCCAGAAACAATGACATAAAACCATGTGGGTTTATCTCAAGGGCCTCCGTCCAAGCTGACTCATTCTGCCCAAACAGTGGCTGGGACAGAAATCTGGCAGCTCGTGGCGGCCACTTCCTGTCCCTCCCCCCAACTCCTCACCACCAGGCCCAGAACCCAGGCTGGGGTGGATGGTGGGGAGTGTGCGGGGGGCAGCCACCTCTGGAGACAGACCGGTTATCAGCCCAGCACTGCCACCTCTGTGCCCACGCGGCCTTGGGGACTCATGTGAGGATGCCCACAGGACCCACGTTTGTAACCACGGGAACGCGTCCACATCCCGATCCTCAGAACCGGTGCTGGTGTGGCCTTACACGGCAAAGGCCCTGGCTGCTCCGAGGCAGCTGGTTTCAGTCAGATGTGGTGTTAAAAACACTGGCTCCCCTCCTCCGCCGCTGTCTTCTAAGCACCTTTAAAAACTCAAAACCCCCATTTAATGGCCCTCCACTCCTTCCCCCTCCCTTGAGCAAATAAATCCCATTCCCAGCAACAGGTTGCACGCTCCATCAAATTCCAGCCGCAGGCCCAAGCGTCCAGGTCGTTCATGAATCCAACTCCGAAGATATTAAA